TTATTTAAATCCTTCAAAACTACCGAAATAGCACTCAGCTATAACCAGCATAACACTAGTATTTTGCCTTAGTGTAACATCAGCAAATAAAGATGTTATATTGGCCAACTTTTGTCACCAAGGCAAATATCCCAGTTTCAATGATTCAGCCACTGCAAAGTTTAAAAAAATCCAACAAAATTACCACATTATCGTAGAGCTTAACCTGCATGATATTTTTCGGCTTATTTTAGCTACAGCAAATAGAAAAGGACTATTGCACAAGGTCTGTCATCAAGGCAAATAGTTTTTGGAAAAAATCGAAATTACCGAAATTAAATTTGTGTCGAACGAGCATCATGATTAACTTCGGGATGTGAGCCTAGTACTACAGTCAAATAAGAAAAAGTTATTTGTGAAGGAGTTCCATCACTAGACCAAGCATCATTCAACCGAGTTTATTTTGATCTTATCAAAGAAAAAAACGCACTTTCCGAACGAGCGAGAAAAAATAATAACCAAAAACTTAAAAAAAGATCATTCTCTTATGAGCAAGAATAATGCAACTTTGATGAGAAACTGCTCTTGCCAACTGATCCTTAACCATCAGATTTCCCTCAAATACAAAAAAATGTCAAAATAAACATACCTATTTTTGATTTCATTTTCAGTACGTTTAGACATTTCTTATCCGCTCCTTTAAGGGATCAAGGAAAACCATAGCGGAATTAAACTTATTTCATCCGTTTCAAAAAGCCATTCTAACTTATAAAGGAAGACATTTCCTCATCAGTGAGGCGCACGAAATGTCAATGTCAGAAATTGAGATCGCAAAAACAAAAAATCAACAGAGAACTCATTTTTTGTCGTGATTTTATGCCCGCAAGCAGTTTTCTCTTAAGACTAATTTCCCATTTTCCTGCGGACAGTTTAGTTTTGTTTGTTTCCAGAAATAGCCCTTCGCTTTAATTACGGACGAAGAACATGGCGTACGTCCACGGTTACGTGTGAGCAGTCACATGCTCCTGTCTTTGCAGTGCAGTATTAGCAACAAGAAATCGAAACGCATGATATATAGACCCTGAGAAGTTTCAGGAAAAACGTGACTTCGTTTCCGTTGCTAAATGCCCCTATTACACGATCGGGGTTTTTGGAAGTTTTGTTTGCAATGTGATTCAAGCCAATATCAGCATAGTGTACATACATTCAACACTTCTTGCACTCGAAAACGTCTCTCAAACCTCTGTATATAAACACCCCCGCTTTTCTCGCATTCGGTATACTTTGATATAGTCAGTGGCAAGAGACTCTGCGGTATTTTTGATGATTCTAAGACGACGTAGTTCATGGGCACGTATGCTTAATGGTGAACAAGTCCCGAATGTGTAAGTCGACGAACAAACGTAGGTTTTCATTTGTTTTATTTTAAAAAATCTTGGTGGATTTCAGAAAATCATTCAAATTGCTCGTGCTAAAAATTATTCAAAATACTTGAATTGAAGGATAATTGCGCTAAATGTTGCGTTTAAGATTCAAGCCTAAACGTCACTTCTGCCTAGAAACTTGACTGATCATTTTTCAAGTTATACGAGAGTTTATTAATATTATTGTCAATTATTGCCACCTAACGCTGGCTTATTTATTTGATCAAACTTGCCAACCGGTTTTCGTTTTTGGGGAGAATAACTTGGAACTTCACACAAACAAGTACTTGTTCCGTCGCCTACATTGCACGCGACAACATTTAGAAAATCGCCCCCATTAAATCTAAAATCACTATCGCCAAATGCTTTGCGAAAATCATAATTTACATCGTTTGATAATATCGTTTACATCTTAGAAAATTCATGTTTTCCCTATATTTCTTGATCAACTTATTTTTTTAAACTAATAATGGCTGCGTTTTTTTATTTAATTTACTAAGAAACAACTGCAGACTTTCTTGATTTCCGGACATTCCATTTTTTTTGAAAGAATACGTGGTGACATGTTGTATGACATCATTTTTCGTATTTAATCCTCCTATCCGTTTTTCCTTCTACTTTATGGCTCTTATATTATCGTGCATCAACTTCTCGACTTCTGTCCTAGACTTTATTGAAACTCGTTATCAATGGATTGGTTGGTATATTCCACATGGTCCCATAATGACTAATACAATAGCAAACAATCGTCAAAAGAAGATTTTATCGAAGCTAAGTACTTTAGTCGGCGCAAGAAAGAAAATATTCTGCATTTTCGCACGTTTTGCGACATATTGTCTATGATTTTTTATAGAAGTTCAATGAGTTAAGGAACTCTAGTGTCCACAAATAAGGACCTTAGAGGAAAACCAGTCTGAACAATAACTTACAAGAACTCTGGTTTTGATTTATTGACCATTGGTCAATCACTTACCGATTAACCGACCGGCATACACTCAGTTGTTATTGTTTAAATCTTCTCCTTGATAGCGCATACCGCATATGCACCAATATCATCAGCAGTTATTATACCCGCTCTATAATCAACATAGTCTTTAGTCTGTACATTCATCTTATGATATTGAACTCTGAAACCTACGCGGTTTTATAATGGCTTAGGAGTGTATTACGAAAGATATATACTCTATGTAATAATAATAATAACGGTTGGTACTATAGTAACAGGGTTTATTTAGAAAACATTTGTTCCTAAAGATAAGCTGGCGGTGTGGTAACGACTTGACGTCGCGTTTTCTTTTTTTCATTTCAGATCGCGCTGAGTTTTACGCTTGACACGAGAAAACGAAGATACTAAAGAGAAGTCGAAGAAATTGTTATCGTCTGTGAAAAATCTCTTTTCCAAAGAAAGAGGGCACCGGTAAGTTTATATTATTTTTCATTTAAACAGAATTCATTTTTTTTTTCCCCTTCCATTTAATCACTCTAAAATTCAACATAGTGTTAATTCATTTTTACATACTCACTCTAATTCAATTTATTTGTTGTTGAATTTTTCTTCTTGGTAGAAAATTCTCTTTTTCAAGATTCAGATTTCATTTTATGTTGTACTTTTCTTTTAAATTTAAACACACTTTTTTTTCTTGCTTGCTGACTAGTCTTGACTCAATTAATAAACCATATATATTCCTTTTTTCTTCCTTGCGTTTATCCTTTTTATTATTAAGATATTGTTAGTTATATAATTCTAGTTTTGTAAATAGTTTCTGAAAAGCCCTCTTGGGAGAATGCTATAAAAGTTTATTATTTTTATTATTATAATTTAGTTTCATTTCCTTGTCCTTTTCATTCATTTCGAACAAGCTACGAATATATTTGTGTCATGGTGGTGTTTTCTACCTTAAAAGCCATACTTCTTTTTTGACAGCTCAATTAATACTTTGGGTTCTTATGAAATGACACTGATTATTCCAAACGACATCCCACCGCCCTAACAGTTTCATATCTTAATTCATATACCTACTTAAAAATCCATCCCCTGACACAAAGAACCAATACGTGAGAAAAAATTAAATCTATATTAGTGGAATTGTGAATGAGTAGAAAGAACAGCTTTCCCTTTCTGTTCAGGAGAGGCTATCGGAAACGAGGGATTATGAAAAGTTATTGCGCACTCAAAACTAAAAAGTTGTGTCTTTTAACGAATTATTCTCTTACCGAACAACTTTATAATATTTAAAGTCAATTCGAACAATATTTTCGCAGTGCCAAATTATTTCTGTCAATATATTTATTGTCAAGGTGTAGAATTCCCATAGTCAGGCTAGGGGTATAATTATCCCCTGGGACTCGGATTTTTTCACCTATTCCCTTACGTTCGCTAGCTGTGAGTCGCGATCGCTGAATTGTGATTCGCTGAATAATTTCAACTCCAGTATATCTAAGATACATTATTATTTGAAATACGAAGCTCGGTATAATTTCATTTTTTTGACTGTGGTCAGGAGATTTTTTAAGAATTTACTTATATTTATTTTTCTCCGAGATTACTGTAAGATGGTTAACAAAAACAAAGAATAGACAAGGCGCTGTTAATTAAAATGATTTTCTGGATTTTAGCTCCATAATTCATTCTAATGTCAAACATAGCTTACAAACGGCAACTGTCACGTGACTATCAACTAAAATCGCATTTTAAGGCTTCAACAACCATGAATAGAAATACTTGTAAGTTGACAAGGGCTTAAAAACGCGTTGTTCTTACGTGTTGTTATATATATATTATATA